TGCAGGCGGGAAGCGGGACTGACCTGGGCACATGCAGACCCGGGCACACGAGTGAATCCGGCCCTGGAAATTCCATTTTGCCCCCCCTCCAATACCCTCCTTTGAGTAGTTGCGAATTGCCTGGCAGCTACGGACTGATGCACCTAATTATAATAAAACTTACCTACTTAGAAAATATCGGATATTTTATATGTCCAGTATGTTCTCAGTCTGTTTCACGGACAAAACCCTCAAATACTGGACTGTCCGGTACAAAACTGGACACGTGGCAATCATACCCTTCCTTGCACCCTCCTTCCTAGCCAGGTACCCTACCCCCAATCTGCTCCTGCTCCCGCCTCCTGGAATGCTCATGCGGTGCCAGGTCCCTGAAGCCCTGGCCCAACCAGGGTAGAGGATACAGACGGGTGAAACACTGAAAATGTATTCATTTTTAATTATTTTTTTTATATGCGTTTATATTCTTGGGCTGCAGAAAACAGCACTGAAAAAAAAACCAGGTTCCAACTAAAGTAAAAAGTTTGGGAAACCCTGATCTAGCCAGCTTTCTGTCCATCTTACAGTCCATTAATCCAACCCATATTCCTTTAACTTGCTGGCAAGAATATTGTGGGTGACCGTATCAAAAGCTTTGCTAACGCTGGCACTGGGGGCTTTGGGAGGACCAGAAACAACTTATTTGAATATTCATTATTTGCTTAATGAATATGCAAATGAATGTTACCAGTCCTCCAAAAGCTCGTGAATAGATTTACTGGTGTCCATGTCAAAAAATTTGGGAACCCCTGCCCTAATTAGATAAGGGCTCCAGGCTGGATCCTCAGCTTGTAGCTTGTGGTGGTATAGTTTCGCTCCAGTCAATGGAGTTATGACCGTGCTGTGGTAGATCTGGTCCTCCATCATTAAGGGAATGCTGCTCCCTGACTGCTGAAACTTTTTCTGGTTTATTTTAACACCAGGGATGGACTATTGCCAAGGGCAGCAGCCAACGAGCTATATTTTTCCTCTAAGAAGTGTTGGTTATTTATTAATCTCGCTGTATTTTCGGCTTCAATCTACTCAGTACTTTTTTCTTTCATTTTTTCCTCCCCAAGAAGAGGTGTGTGCAATGTGGCTCCACAGGCTGGGAAATTTTCCTTTTCAAATGGTAGCTGGTCTAATGAGCACTATCAGAAATAAGTTAGTGAACAGATTTACAGACCAAGAAAGTTGGAATTCAACAGCACCCTTGGCCATCTTTTTACAAAACTAGTTAGGGAGTGTTCTGGTAGAACCATGTGTTTCTGAGAACAGGTATTCTCTCTAATCTGCTACCTTGAAGCCCAATACCACCCGCTGCTATAGCCATGTATAGCTACCATGTATTTACCATCAGCCTTATCCCAATTCCACCTCATGCACAGCTGCTACCTTGAATGAAGAAGTCACATCAGGAAGCATCAGTGTCTTTTTAATGGGATGGACTAGGCCCTGAGACCTGTCTTGTGGCCCTGCCACATCCCACACCAGGAAAGGGCAGCAGAAATGTCCTCCAGGCTGCCTAGAGTGGCTGTCTGGGAAGCAACCAATCAGGGCCCAGCAAGCTAGTATAACTGCTGTTGGACCAGGATTAGTTCCTTGCTAGAGCTGGAGGAAGGTGAGTGGTGTACCAGGCTGGCTGCTGGGTCTCCACCAGGACAAGGCCCTGAGGTAAAGGTAAAGAATGCACTGCAACCACAAGGATATGGCCCAGGGAATTGTAGCAACAATGCAGTTTATTTAAAGGGACCCACATAGTATAGTTTCTATCTATAGTCTGGGACCCAAAACAGAGGGTGAGCTGGGTATCCCCACCAGCCACTGGGAAAGTGGCCTGGATTTTGTACCCCAAAAGGGGTACTGAACTTTTTTAGTGGCCCAGCTGCACTGCTGTGTCCAGAAAGGCAAAGTGTCTCCAGATAGGGAGCCCTGGGGAGTGTGTCCCATACCTCAGCCAGCACTGCTTGAAGAACAGGGACAATTTCAGAGATCTCAGAATGGGCTGAGACAGTTCAAACCAGGGTATTGTAATAGGCCCTGCTGGTCTGATTGAGGAGATAGACCAAAAATAGGGCTGCAGATCAAGAGACTTGACTGAGGCTTAAATCCCAGAAGGGGTTCGCTCTGCTTTTTCGCTTTGCCCTTATCACAGTGAGCAGCTCAGCTGGAGATGCTAGAGACAGGTGCAAGCAGATACACTTGGCCAGGGGGCACTCATGCAAGGTGAGTGTACGCTGTTACTGTGTCCTACAGGGTCAGCCATTCATATAGGTTGGAGAAAGAAAAAAAATGAGCCTCCTGAGGGAAGCACTTGCTTCTTGACTCCTACTCTGGAACATGATTGGAGTGTGCATTACCTCATGAGGCCAGAAAGGACTGCACATCTACCAGACTAACTGACTCAGATTCAACCTTTAGACCTGGTCTATAGTAGGCCAGGCAGGCTGGCTTACAGTACGCAACTCCAGCTATGCAAAATACATAGTTGGAGTCAACTTACCTTAAGCTGAGATATGGTGGTGTCTACACTGTGGGAGGCCGATTGGAGCACACACTCCCGTTGGCTTCCCTTACTCCTCAGGGAAGGAGGAGTATTGGGCGCTGGCAGGGGCTGCCCTCAGCATTCGATTTAGGGCATCTATTTTAGACCCGCTAAATTGAACGCTAGAAGATTGGCCTCCAGAGTGTCAATCTTCTCATAAGTGTAGACATGCCCTTAGAGATATATAGGTAGATAACAATTGTGCATTTTGTGTATTTACATAAACACTGTTAGAAGTTAACAATGTAATGAAACAATTCCTATCACTGAATTGTTAATTCAAGGATCAAAAAGAAGTTAATGTTTAAATGAACTGTAGTGATATCATGGTCTTAATTTCTCACACGTTTGTAATAAGTCACATGTAAATGGCTAGAGATAGGCAAATGCCTGATGTTAATCCAAGTAGCTAGTTACAGGATACTTTTAGGAAATAGGAGGCTACTTCAAAGATACTAGTCACCCAAGGACTGCATGATGTCAAGAGGCTTTCCCAGGAACTGTATAAAGGTCAGTGGAGACCTGATCCTTTCCATATCAAATCTGCTTATGCTTCATCTGAGGAAGCTTGAGTCACAAGATTGTCTCCTGTCCATTCTGGTCACTCTGATATTACAAATTGTACTGAACTTATGGACTAATTCTGAAAGAATTCTTTGCAGCTCGAAAGCTCCCCATATCTACTGTGAAACTGACCTAGAAGAACTCCTTTCATAGCTGTATGTATAATGATGTTTTAACCAATGCTCTCTTCTTTCTTTAAATAAATCTTAGTTTAGTTAATAATTGGCTATAAATGTGTATTTGGGTAAGACTTGAAATGTTTAACTTGGTGAGATAATATGTCTGACTCTTTGGGACTGGCAGAACTTTTTTAGATGATGAACAAGATTTTTAGTAATCCTCCTAATATTTGACTGGGCTGTCTGAGTGGGAGCCCAAGGCTGGGTTGCTTTAAGGGAGTTGTGTTTTTGGCTTCTGGGTAACCAGTAAGATATTGTAGAAGCTGTTTTGTTGGATTAGTGGTTATTTTGCCTTATTTTTTGCCATTTGCCTTAACTGAGCAATTGCAGCATTCCCTGATCTCAGTTGCATCTTGTATGTTTTGAGCAGTGGTGCAAGTAAAATCCTTCTTACTGCTGGGAGGAGGAGCACCCACTATGGGGGGCATGTGACCCTCTACCCTTCCATGCGGCCACACCAGAGAGGAGAAGCCAGTATTCTGCTCCTTTCCCTGCCACGGTTCCCAAGCAAGCCTGGCACTTCCAGCTTACCCAGGAACCGCAGTGAGGAAAGGAACAGAACTTCCAGCCCTGCCTTTCCATGGAACTGCATCTCTGTGTACAGCAGGACGGAGGGAGAATGAGGCGGTATAGTAGACAGAGGAGCTGCATCAGAGAGGAGGTGCAGAGCAACTTCTCCGGTATCATTACAGCACGCTATACTGGCTATAAATAACTTGCTGGTACGGTGTATCAGAGTGTATTGCTACTTATCGTGATGGTTTTGAGTAACCTACACTGAATTTGAGAGAAAAGAAACTGAAAAGGACAGGATCTGGATCAAAGAGCAAATCAACACTGAATCAGTCTCTTTAGAAAATGTAACACCCCTTGCCCTAGTGTCCTTGTCTCTGTTACCCATGAGGACAGAAGGAGGCAAATTAGAATGATTCACATCACAATACTTACTGTCTGGGGTTTAGAAAATGAGAAATTGGACATAAAGTCCTCTTTGGTCAGCAAAAATCTGCGACTGATGTTCTGCTTCATTCCTCCTGCAAAATGTCCACAGGGTTAAATTCTTATTTATTTTTTAACAAGGTAATCCTAGTCATAGACTCATAGACTTTAAGGTCAGAAGGGACCATTATGATCATCTAGTCTGACCCCCTGCACCATGCAGGCCACAAAATCTCACCCACCCCCTCCTAGAATAATCCTCTCACCTATATCTCAGATATTGAAGCCTTCAAATACTTTGAAGACCCCAAGATGCAGAGAATCCTCCAGCTGTGATCTGTACCCCATGCTACAGAGGAAGGCGAAAAACCTCCAGGGCCTCTGCCAATCTACCCTGGAGGAAAATTCCTTCCCGACCCCAAATATGGCAATCAGCTAAACCCTGAGCATGTGGGCAAGACTCACCAGACAGACACCCAGAAAAAAGTTCTCTACAGTAACTCCTATCATCCCTCCATTGACCTATTCCCACTGATAATGAATGGTCAATTAGTTACCAAGATCATGTTATCTCATCAAACCATCCCCTTCATAAACCCATCTAGTTTAATCTTGAAGCCAGATAGATCTTTTGCCCCCACTACTTCCCTTGGAAGGCCATTCCAGAACTTCACTCCTCTAATGGTTAGAAACCTTCGTCTAATCTCCAGTCTAAACTTCCTACTAGCCAGCTTATATCCACTTGCTCTTGTGTCCACATTGGTATTAAGCTTCCCTCCCTCCCTGGTATTTATCCCTCTAATATATTTAAAGAGAGCAATCATGTCCCCCTCAGCCTTCTTTTGGTTAAGGTAAACAAGCCAAGCTCCTTGAGTCTCCTTTCATAAGACAGGTTTTCCATTCCTCGGATCATCCTAGTGGCCCTTCTTTGTACCTGTTCCAGTTTGAATTCATCCTTCTTAAACATGGGAGACCAGAACTGCACACAGTATTCCAAATGAGGTTTCACCAATGACTTTTATAACGGCACTAACACCTCCTTATCCCTACTGGAAATACCTCGCCTAATACATCCCAAGACCGTATTAGCCTTTTTCACGGCCATGTCACAATGACGGCTCATAGTCATCCTATGATCAACCAGGACTCCAAGGTCCTTCTCCTCCTCCGTTACTTCCAACTGATGTGTCCCAAGCTTATAACTAAAATTATTGTTATTAATCCCTAAATGCATAACCTTACACTTCTCACTATTAAATTTCATCCTATTGCTATCACTCCAACTGGTCAGAGTGCATCAGACTCCAGCTACCTGCTTCTATCCAGTTCAGACCGCCTGTGCAGAGTCAGACAGCAAAGGGTTACAGAATATACAGCATGTAATTGCCCAAATGTTGTTTTCCCTAGGTTGTGTCAGTTATGCAATGGTACATGACAGATATGAGTGCTACATCCGAAAGGAAGCACTCTGGGGCTTGTTGGCCCTCTCCTGGATTTCTGTTTCTTAGGACCGTACTCTGATTCTGTGCACATGGTGTCACAGAGAAGCAGAAACGCAAGCTGCTAACCAATCCAATCCGAAGGGGACTATTTCTAAGCAACCTTAACAATATCTGGGCCCACCAGTCATCCACTGGGCTACCATGTGAAGAATCTGAGTTTGAGGTTCAGGCTCAATTCTAGGCTTCCCAGTCTGCAGCCCCCCAATCCATTGGGCAGGTGTTGTCTCATGTCATGCTGCAGTGATTTCTAGTGCCAATGAATCAAGAGCAGCCTTGATGGGCTCAGGTGGGAGTTGTGTCCAGCCTTCCCACGTGCTGTGCCTTAAAGCACGGGTGTCATGATGTGAAGCACAGAGGAGGAAGCGGGGGAAGGAAAAGGAGAGCTCCCAGGGGTTCCAGAAAGAGACTGAGGAATTTTAGGGTAAAGAAACCCATGACAATGCACCTTGCTCTCCTCTGCTACATGCAGTGTCTAATGGAAACCATCCTGGTCACTGTGGGTACATCTATACAGCAGCATTATTTAGGAATAACTATGCGAGCGTTTACACAGCTAGCCCATTAGTTTGAAATAATTTTGAAATAACCAATGGCTTATTTCGAAATCTGTAAACCTCATTCCACGAGGAATAACATCTCTTCTGAAATAGCTATTTCAGAATAGCAGTAGCATGGACGCTCCATTGCTGCTATTTTGAAATAGCTCCTCCCCAGGCCATTCAAAGTAATTACTCCCCAGTGCTTCCTGGGGTTCTAAATCGAGGTAGCATGTTCACATTAGGGGAGCCTGCCTTGAATTAATTTCCAGGCTTCCCTGTAGTGTAGATGTGCTATTTCAGAATAAGCTATTTTGGTGTATTTCTTCTGGAATAGCTTATTGTGAAATAACCGTGCAGTGTAGACATAGCCCATGTTTAGTGTGTGGCCTCAGTGGTGAGCTTAGAATGCAGGATTTAGGTCTAGATGAGCTTTAGGTAAGGAGTTAGATTGAATTTGGTCTAGGCTCCAACTGCACCCAAACCTTATGAGCTGCTCTAAAATGCTGTGTGATGGTCTGTGCTTTTTTATTAGTATTTATTTATTTATTTATTTATTTTTATCTACTGCATCCAAGCGAGATAATAGCCTCATTTTGGATTTTTCCTGGTACCAAAATCAGAGGGTTGGGTTGGGCTCTTGGAGTTCAGATCCCAACTGTCTTGCCTACTAAGAGGACACTAATAATTGGCAGCAATCTATTTCAATGCACTTTTCCTTGGGCACTAATGTGACTTTACATTGGTGCATGGTTTGGCAAGTGTCATGAAAACAGGCTCAGTAAGCACACATCAAATGCTTTAAACTCACTCAAAGCAAAATCGCTATTAACCTCTGGGAGAAGGAAAGATGCTTCTCTTCAGGCAGGGCTAGCTCCCTGCTGGATGCCAGCTCTTAAACCTGAGCAGGAGCTGAGGTTTAACTCAATGGGGAAATGGACTCCCTCTCCCCTACCACCCCATCTCCTCATCAGCTTCAAAAACGTCACAATTCAAAGGAGAAAGCAGTGGCCCCCTTGAACAGAGACTATGTCTGAAAAGTTTCAGGCCATAAGACAAAGGTTCTAGAAAGCTGTGAGTGAATGAAACTAGAGTGCAGGCTCAACCATAGCAGTCACTGAAATATCTCATAGGAGGGACATTAATGTGGAAAACAACTTACGCTTGTGTTAAACCAAAACTCTGGAAAAGGTACCTGTTAGGAGGCTGACAATCATTCCCAAAACTATTGTGACCAGGGTCCCAAGTGTGCTGAAGTACAGATATGACAAGGAATACCAATAATCGACCAGGACAGGTCTAAGAAAAGGGGAAGGAAACACTCTGTTATAGTCTACTTCAAAATTCAGACAACCTGAAAATGTATAAAACTATTAAATAAAGGTAAATATTGTAAGAAATGTTCTGTGCTAAAAAATAATGAGCCACCTGCTACTCTCCTGCAGAGCCATCCACCTGGGGCAAAATATGCATTCAAGCTCTGAGGTAAAACTGGCAGTGGCAGGTCGGTAGGATGGGCAAATGGGCCATGGCCAGTAAAACCAAAAGAACCCGTGCCTCCATTTTGTCTTAAAGCACAGTTGTCATGATGTGAAGCATTGAGGAGGAAGCAGGGGAAGGAACATGACAGCTCCCTGGGGAATGCTGGGCAGAAGTGAAGAGGGGGTAGCCTCTCTGTGGGAGTCACTGGAAGCCCTGGAGCCATGCTGCCACACTGTCTGCACCTTTCACCCCTCTTAATGAGCTGCAATGGGGGATTATGACAGAGAAGAGCATGCCACATCCAACAGCCATTGTTGCTCGGTTATCTCCATGCACCACCAAGGGAATGCCAGACCTACAGCTCTCTTGTGGGGGTGGGGTGTTCCCTGGTCTTTGAGGCACAGACTGTGCCATCACTTCCACAGATCTCTTTTTAATAGTGGTGCTCTGCATTAAATCTCAGTTAACTAGGGTTGCCAGGTGTCCGGTTCTGAACTGGACAGTCCAGTATTTGAGCGTTCTGTTCGGGAAACAAACTGAGAAAATATAAATGAGAAAATATAAATATCTGGTATTTTATAAATAAGATGTAATATAGATTGTGATATAATGTCAAGTGTGTCTAGTATTTTTGTTTAAACCATCTGGCAATCCTACAGTTAACTGGAATCCAGTCAACTAGGTTTCAGCTCACTTTGCTTTTGAGGCTTTATGTTACAAAGCAGCATAAAAAAACATCAAATGACCATTTGGAACATGCCACAGAGAGTAGTACATGGACCAACATCTTAAACCAGGTATGTATTAATTCTGGCCTCAGAAACAAGACTACATTTACTTGGCTCTTTACACGGATTACTATTTGAATTTGCTAAAAGTTTGGGTTTCGTTTAAGAAATGGTAACTAATTATCCACTGTTAATGCTAAGTAATGACTTGAAGCAGAACAGATATCCTGCAGAACCTACTAAACACAAGTGCTTTGGGGTTTAAGAGTTGTTTGATCTTATGCATAACATCCCACTTGTCATGCTGGTGAAACTGCATGTAGACACAGGCACTCCAGAGCAGTGATCCATCCAGTCAGGGATCCAGCTGCTTCAGAGGAAGGCCTAAAGAATCTCACAATTCACTTAACAATGCAATATTCACCACCTAGATTACACTTTTACCTAAAGATAGCAAGCTGCTGACGCAGTTACATCTGGAGACATCAGAATTAACAACGCTTGGATTTTTTAATCTAAACATTATCTTTTCATCTAATTTAATCAAGATGCCACTCCTTATTCTCCTATTGATATCACTATTTGGTCTTTGGAGTGGAGTGGTTTTGCCTGTATCACGTGATAGATGTATGACTATCGCAGAGAAAAAAAAACCCAGCATTTCACTCAGTTGTACTTGATTCTGTGGTTTTGCAGAATGTGGCTATCTACTGATCTAATGTTGTTGGATAAACTCTTGATGGAAAATGCACTGAATACACTTAGGGTACATCTCACAGAAGGGCAAAAGTTGAATTAAGCTATGCAACTTCAGCTACATCAATTGCATAGCTGAAGTTGAAATAATTTAATTTGGCTTTTGGCACTGTCTACACAGCAGGAAGTCGAAGGAAGAGCACTCTTCCTTTGAACACTCTTCCTTCGACTCCCCTTACTCCTCACAATGACTGTTACAGGAGTTGGAATAAGAAGTCCTCCATCTCAACATTACTTTGAGATAATGGCTTGCTGTGTAGACGCACATTTTGTTATTTCCAAATAATGTCAGTTATTCCGAAATAACGCTGCTGTGTAGATGTACCCCTGATCACCCTCAAGGTTTAACTAGCTTAGGGTATGTCTACACATAAGCTAATTCGAACTAACGCATCTAGAACTAAAAACTAGTTCAAATTAGCGTTTTGCTAATTCGAACTAGCATGTCCACATTAAGTGGACCCTGAACCGGGCTTAAGGCTGTCCGGAAGCAGTGCCGGCAGGGCATCAGAGGAGGACTTAGAGTGTGGAGATGCTGTCTCAGGCTAGCCGAGGGCTGTGCTTAAAGGGTCCCGACCCCCACCCAGGACAGACAGTTCTCAGGGGTGCCCCGCTTGAAAACCAGTCCTGGCTTGGTGTGCCCGGAGTACCCACACTGGGCACATCACACCACTCGGCCATCAGCCCGGCTGCACTTGCC